CTCTTAAATGCATCTATGCTAATCACATTGATAGTTCCCATTCCTGCTCAATATAGACCTTTAAATAAATCCCAACATTTGATTTGTTGATCAGCTAAAAACTTATGTACATTAGAGCAACAAAGGATTCAAACCCAGGTGCCTTGAAGTTATGAAGAAGGGTCTCTGGACCTGAAACGTTAACTCTGCTTTCTCTCCACAGATGCTGCCAGACGTGCTGGGTTTTTCCAGCAATTTCTGTTCTTCTCCTTAAATTATGTTGTTTCCAAACTAGTGATACCATTGAATTAGCTGCTTTTTTAAAAAAAAAAATCAGTCTACAATTATTTTGGATCAGCAAAAACACTGGGCATAGATTATACCCACTGCTGAAATGTAGGAAATATGACAGCTAACTTGTCGACAACAAGCTCTGACAAGAGGCAACACGATAATGACATAATCAACAGTTTTAGTGATATCAATTAAACGAGAAATATCAGTTAGGACAGTAAGCAGAGTCCTTAACTCTTCTTCCAACAGTGCCATGGAATCTCATACATTTACCAGATAGAGCAGACATGGTGTCAGTTTAACATTTAATTCAAAAGATGGCTCTTTCAACGGTTTCGTGTTCCATCAATATTGCTCTGAATTTTGTGCTTCTCCCATCTTTTGACTGGGACACGAACCCACAGCCTAACCTGACTAGTTCGTTTAATTTGTTACTTTTGTGCCGATGAATATATCATGCAGGACATTTGCAGTTGGATCATTTTTGCAAGGTGTCTGTGAGCTTCTAGATTCAAGAGCCCAATTTCTCAATGAGGTCTTCTTGACAGATTGCTATTTCTTTCACATCACTGTTTCCACCTTTGCCACCTGGTCAAAACGTCACCAATTTATGTTTAACACCTCAGTACAAGATTCTGGCTATCTATTCAGCTGGACATTATAGTTCAATGGTCTACAAGTGATTTCAACAACACAGGAAAATAGAAGGAATACACCGAGGAGCATTCAGCCCCTCAAGCCTATAGCAATATTTAATTACATTACGGATGATTCATATCTTAACATAATCCACCATGTTCCAGTGAATGCAAAATACAAATCACATTCAGTCCCTGCAATTGTATATAAGGCATCAAGAAGCACTCCATATATTTACTGACCCTCCTGACATATCATCATCTGTATTTCACTTTAAGGAGTACAGATAAAGCAATCCAATCTCATTCAGGGCAATTAAAGTTATCCAAACTAATTACTCTCCCTTTTTTAGACAAATCCCTTTGAGTAATTCTATATTAATTAGTTCCTTTCTACATCTTCCTTCATTAATTGCTTTCACTTGCTATCAGACATTTTAACCCAAAATTTCTCATCCAGTTCAGATTCTCATCTGTAAGGAACGACATTCTCTTTGGTAATGGCAAGAAAGCAAGAGAACAGAATGTGCGCTCAAATACAGCCTCATCATGTTCTCATCTCATCCCAACATGCTTCACATGTAATAAAACACTCAGTTGGGCAGACAATGATGTGTAGGCAAACACCACAATCTATTTGTGCACTGCAAAATTCTACACAGAATAAGTGACAAAAGTGGCCAGTGAATCTGTTCTGCTGGTTGAGAGGGGAATATTAATTATATCATCAGGAGATTTCCTTTCTATTTATCCAAATGCCAGCACTGGATCATTAAGTGCCAGCCCAATGCAAAGATTAGCAGGACACAGAAGGTCTGAATAGATTTGGGACAGAGCAGAAGAAACTTTATTTTGGTGATAAAAGGTCGAGATTCTATGGAATACATGTTAGTGCTTGGATCTACTTCAACTGACTGTTCTTAGTTGTTGACAACGAGGAACATGGGAAAACAGTAGGCAAAAGGAATAAGATCTACAGCTCAGGTAGAGAATAAACAACACCAGACTGGCTTGAGCAAATTGCCTGTTTTAACATTGTAATTGTGTAGTAACTATGTAATCATAACAGACGATTACTCAAGTTGTAAGAATATAATTAACAAAAATTTTAATTTTTGTTTTGTTTCAAGGGCCTTCATAGCCTACTCCTGCCCTATCTGTAATCTCTTCCAACCTACTGAGATTTCTACGCTCATGTAATTGATATCTTGTACATTTCCATTATAATTGCTGCACCATTGGTTGCTGTCTTCAGTGCCTAGGTCCCAAGTTCTGGTACTACCTCCCTATATCTCTCTGCCTTTGAAAAACTCCTTAAAACTCACCTCTTTCACCAAGCTTTTAGTCATCTAGCCTAATATATCCCGATATGATTGAGTGTCATACTTTGTTTTATTACACTCTTGTAAAGTGCCTGAAGATACTTAATTATTTAAAAAGGTACTAAACAAATTTATTGTTGCTGAATTTCAGAAAAGTGGAGGCATACAAATTTGCTTTAGGCATTGGGCAAGGCAGTGCATTCCTGAAGTTTTCTTTCAAAGCTTGTCTTGAATTACTTAAAATAGTCACTGAAGTAAAAATCTGATATCTGCTGTTTCTCAGTACGTGCAGTTAGCACATTTTGGATTTCACTGAGAAATCCCAGTGTGTTCAGGATATGAAAACAGTTTTGTGGCTTTAAACCTTTTAACTGTACATTTAAAGTGTCAGGTGTATCAGCTGGTGTTAGTTCAGTCCAGATTGTTTCTGCTCACCTACAACTCAAAGCTGTTAGAAAGGCTAAACCAAGACCTAACAGGAGCTTAACACTTCCAAATGAAAAAAAAAATCAGATATTGAGAAGATACTCAGTAAGATTTAACCCAGTAGAACAATCTACTTTTTTGCTTTACCTTTCTGCGGATGGCACAGTGGCGCAGTGGTTAGCCCTGCTGCCTCACAGCGCCAGGGACTCAGGTTTGATTCCACCCTCGGGCAACTGTCTGTGTGGAGTTTGCACATTCTCCCATGTCTGTGCAGGTTTCCACCGGGTCCAAAGATGTGCTCATTAGGTGGATTGGCCATGTTAAATTCCCCAGTGTTCAGAGATGTAGGTTAGCCATAGGAAATGCAGGGTAGGGGGATGGGCCTGGTAGGGGGATGATCTTCAGCAGGTCGGTGTGGACTTGTTGGGCTGAAGAGCCGATTTCCACACTGTAGGGATTCTATTCTTTCTTCTGCAACTGGCACTGGCTCAGGCTGGGGTAATATTCCAGCTGAATAATAATTAGGAACTGTTGTCTTCAATGATCTTAACCTCCCTTGCTCAGAACACTCTTAGTTAGTATCCTGACTGCTGCTTTGGCTACAATTGGCTAACTCGGTACAAACCAATAATCTATGGGCTCTTCTGACACAAGGCTAGCATCCCGATCTCAAAGCCAGGAAACCAAGGTTCAAGTTCCTCTTTCTTCAGAGCTATGTTAAAACATGTTGATTACAAGATATCTAGGCCAGCAATCTAACTTACTATTCTCTGATGTTGATAGTTAAGTTCAGAGGTGTATTGACCAAAGGCCTAAAATATTTTGGCTTCTGTAACAGCTTTTGTTCGATATCCTAATCTCTGAGGTGGCAGTTCCATTACTGACCATTCATACCATATACTGAGATGAGTGTAGATTCTGAACTAAGTACCCTCTATTGCAAACTTAACTATATTCCTTCACAGAATCACAAAAAAGGTGGAATCTGAAAGAATATATTTGGTACAAGACAATTTCTAAAAAGCTGCTCAGTCAGTATAACAGATAAAAATTTCAAAGCTGAAATTGATAGGCAGATGGGGTTATGGGACAGATCAGCCAAAAATCTGAAAGGTGAAACAGGCTTTAAGGGTTGAATGGCCAGAAAATGTTTCTAATGTGATCACTGGAGTACATCACTTGGGAGATTGCTGACAACCACATAACCAGTGCAAGATCCTGAAACAGCAATCAATAAATGCACTCAGGCTGCTTCCTACAATTTTATATCAACAAATACAGAAATAAGGTAGGATTAAAACATCCATATATATATACATTCAAGTTATTTCACATATATAAACCGTAAACTGATTATTGAAGTGCACTGAGGTCAAATGAGACCGAATTCAGGAAAAGTTGGAGTTCACAGCTTTCCTTGTCAGCATTGCTCAAGATCATAGGCCAATCCATGGCAGAACATTAATATGAAACACTCCACAATACCAAAGTGATTTAACTATCAGACCGTGATATATCAAATTGATCTTATACCACGTTTCCTCCAACAGCAAACTTATACTCGATTTGCCTATGAAACTGAAACCAAGATTTAAGACACCACTAAGGAAACATCTGGCATCTGCAAACTACCAGACTTAGTCCAAGGCCTTTACCTCTGGGGACGTGAGAGTTTCAATTCTGTTGAGATACTATTCCAATGTGTTTGACAGACAGCCCGCAGAAGACATAAGGAATGAGCCAGGTGGGAGGGGGTGGGGCGGCGGCGCGGCCCCGAAAGGCATGGTGGGAAATGCAGTTCTCCCTCCCACTCCTTCCATCAAAGTTTGAGAATCAGGAACTACATCCCCCACGATGTACCGTATGTGAAAGTCCCTCGTCCTTTTCCAACGCCAGGACATTCTTAAAATGGATATAACTGAGATCGAAGACGAAACAAGAACGAGTTACAATTTAAAGGCTCAACTCTCATTGATGAACACGAGCCGGTTGATGTGTCAAAGTAAAGAAATATGCGGGACTCACTGGTGCAGGCTGGGAATTGTAGTCCCTTAGTCAGTTCCAGTCAATCTACAGACAGCGTTGGATACATTCGGGAAACTAGAGCTCCCGGCCCGCATTGCGTGCGCGCCGGCAACTTCCGGTCTCTCCATTGTCTACCCCCTCCCCTCCCAAAAAGGCCGCGGCGTCTCCCTGAAGCAGAGAACGCGCCGCGGGAGGCCGAGCGAGGAAAAAGGCGACGAAACGCAACTATTACAGTCACGGCGTGTTCCGTCGTACGAAGAGGTTAAGGCAGCCTCTGCCGGCGCCTACGTTGACTTTTACCCTTCGTTACTCTCACCTGAGCAGCTACTCTCTTCAGCGGCCTCCACTCCTCAACTCTACACGTCACTGCGGCCTCGTTCCTGCTCCTTTCCAGACTCCACTAGCCACCACCAGCAAACATCGATCGATCCGCATCGATTGTGCGACGCTCTGCTCCTTGGACTTGCCGCATGTTCTGCCCTTGTCAATCCAGAGGATACAAGAGGTTGCGTGAAAGTAATTTCGCCCATGGAGCTTCATCGTTGTCAAGGATATAAACCCATCCATCAAAGCATTAGACAAAAAAAAACGAAAACACTGCGGATGCTGGAATTCTGATACAAAAACAGAAATTGCTGGAAGGTTTCAGCAGGCCTGGCAGCCTCTGTGGAGACAAATCAGTTAACGTTAGCAGCAAGCTCTGTTTTAGGATCATAGCATTAGAGTGGCTACAGAACAAAAGGAGGTCATTGGGCCATTGTACTCTTCTCTGCAAGATTTACTCAGCTGGCCCCTTTCCCTTTTCTCTGCAGCTGTGTGCACTTTTTCTTTTCTGGTTTCTTTTTGAAAGAACTAATTAAATTTTGAAATAAACCACACTTTCGGGCAGTGCAATCCAAATCCTATTTGCTCACTCCATACTTGAAAAATCCTCACATTTCCAATGGTTATGATTGCCAATCACGTTAAATCTTTCTGTTCTAATTGATGGAAGGGTCCAAAACCAGAACAGTTTCTGTCTGCCTTGACCTCTCCACTTGACCTTCTTCCAGGAGAGCAGCCTTGCATACTCTTCACCAAAGTTTATCCCAACCTCTTTTGCTTTTTGTGTTCGATCTCTATAAAGCCTAGGCCTCCATATGACCGTTTAACCACTTTCTCAAATTGTCATGCCAACGTGCAATTTGTGCCCATATACCCCAGGTCTCCCTTATTCCAACACTCCCTTTGGAATTATATTGGATTTCTGTGCTCTTGCAAAATATCTCCCTTCACAATTCGCAACATTAAACTCAAATGCTATATATTCACCCAGTCCAGCAGCCTATTTTATGTCTGTTCTCTCACTGTCTTCAGCACAGTTCATTGTGTCAAAGCTTTATATCATCTTCAAATTTGAAATTGTGCCTCGCACACTGAAGTTGACACTTATTAATATATAATAAAGGAAGTCATTAATCCAAGTCCCTTTTTCTTTGGCAGTTCCTTGAGATTGAGGATGATTGCTGCCATTCTTGTGCAGTTGTTGTTGCAGTTCTGTGAATTTCAGTTGACTATTTGATTTTGTTTTTGTTACAGTGCCCCAGCAATGATAATCCAACCTGTTAAAGTATATTTTTGGGATTGAAACTAATAGAAATTTGTCATGTGAGGATATCTATCATGTGATTTGAAACAAAATTAAGTGAATGAAGTTGAAGTCCAGTTTAAGTATGATCTGACTAAATGGTGAAACAGGCTTGAGAACCTGAATGGTGTCCATTTTTGTTTTTTTTTCATGGATTTGTAGGTTATCTCACTTTCTGTAATCAGGGAACTGCCTAAGAAAAAGGTACTTGGATTACCAACTTTCTTTATTATATATTAATAAATGTCAACTTCAGTGTGCGAGGCGCAATTTCAAATATGAAGATGGTACAAAACTTTGACACAATGAACTGTGCTGGGGACAGTGCTAGACTCTGAGAGAACAGACATACAATAGGCTGCTGGAATGAGTGGATATGTGGCATTTGAAATTTAACGTAGCGAATTTTGAAGGGAGATAGTTTGCAAGGAACAGCAAAGAAATCCAATATAAAGGATATAATTCCAAAGGGAATGTTGGAACAAGGGAGACCTGGGGGTATATGTGCACAAAAGCAAAAAGCTTGTGCCTAATGTTAGGTCAGACACTGCTGTTTGCTGAAACAAACTTCTTCCATGTGAATAACATAAGCTTATAAAAAGTTTTTAAATGATTGGTGGAGTTCTGTTCACAGTGGGCTTTGGGAAAAAGATGTATTGCAAAATGATGTACAGCCAAATATTTAAACAAAAAGGCAAGTGCCTGCTTTAGGATAGAGAGAATAATTTTAAAAAATTGTGATTACCCAAATCACAGTTTCTGTATGTGTCAAATATGACAAATTCCATGTCCAAGTCACCACCTGTCTTGGAACCATATTGCTCTTGCTGCATTGTTGCTGGATCAAAAACCTGGAACTCCAAATGGCCTTCAATGATTCAAGAAAAAGATTCACTGCTACCAACTTGCCAAGAGCAAAAAAGGAAAGGCAATAAATCCTCGGACCTGGCAATGCCAGCATCTGAACAGTAACTTTAAAATATATATAGTTTAAAAAATATGTCCTTGGATATACTTATTTTGGAGGTGGTACTACAAAGGTTCACAAGATTAGTTCCTGGGATAAGAATGTTGTGTGGAGCTGAAGGAACACAGCAGGATCAGTGAAGCAGGAAAGCTGACGTTTTGGGTTGGGACCCTTCTGCAGAATGTTGTTCTATATTGAGCATTTGAATAAATTAGGTGTATACTCTGTTTAGACTGAAATATATTTATGTACAAATGTCAGTTCTAGACTGCCCTAGTCACGTGACATCTTCCATGCAGCACAAACCTACAGTTAGACATCTCAAGCTTCACTTCGATAAACTCCTCCTGGAGGGAGGTGAGACTGTATTATGGCTCTAAGAGGTGTATTTTGTCCTGGCTTTTTTTCACCAAGAAAGGTTGAGATAGAGTGCCAAGTGATCTGCTCAAAGCCATTAAACAGCTTGTGAGGCCTTCGGTGTTTTTTTGAGAGTTGGAACAATAGAAGCAGCCTGAATGGATAGGGTCAAGTCCTCACAGAACCAGAATTTTTAGTTTTAGTTTTCTGCAGTTACTGAGGTCTTGGAGCTGGATGCAGAAGCTCTTATTCCTCTCCCTGATACAGCTGAAAGCGGAGTTCTCTTCCCACTGCTAGAATTGCATGTGAGACAATCGATTTTACTGAATTTGCCTTTGCCAAGGGTATGTTTATGGGACGTTACTTTAATGGTCAAATATACAAACAGATCAACGGTACACTAATGGGGTCACCTATCTCAGGACTCATTGCAGAAGCAGTCATGCAAAGACTAGAACATACCACCCTCCCCCACATTCAACCTAAACTGTGGATCCAGTCCGTAGATGACACATTTGTCATCATTAAACGCAACAAATTAGAAGAGACCCACCACCACCTCATCAGCATATTCACAGGGATTATTGCAAAATGATGTACAGCCAAATATTTAAACAAAAAGGCAAGTGCCTGCTTTAGGATAGAGAGAATAATTTTAAAAAATTGTGATTACCCAAATCACAGTTTCTGTATGTGATTATTTCACAAGGGAAGAAGAAATCAACAATCAACTTCCATTTCTGGATGTTAAGGTACAACGACTGACAAACGGGGAGTTCCAAACCTCTATACAGAAAAGCAACCCATACAGATCAAATCCTCAACTTCCACAGCAACCATCCCAACGTCCACAAACAAAGCTGCATTAGGACATTATTTAAACAGGCCAGGACACACTGCAACACTCCAGAATTACACCGGGAAGAAGAAGAAGAACACTTATACAAGATCCTCGCCTTAAACGGATATCCCCGCAACTTCATCCACAGGTGCCTATATAACAGACAACAACAGGAGGACACAGTATGCCCTAACACACTTACCACACTTCCCTACATCAGGAACATATTGGAACTGACAACAAGACTCCTAAGACCACTAGGAATCATGGTGGCCCACAAGCCCACGCCACTCTACAACAAACACTTACAGGATTAAAGACCCCATTCCCACAACATGCAGAACAAATGTGGTTTACAAAATACCATGCAATGACTGCCACAAACATTACATTGGACAGACAGGAAGGAAACTAGCCATCAGAATACACGAACGTCAGCTAGCAGCAAAACGGCACGATGAACTCTCCTTAGTATCGATACATTCAGACAATGAAGGCCATCAGTTTAACTGGGACAAACTAACCATAGTAGCCCAAGCCAAACATAGACACGCACGGGAATTCCTAGAGGCATGGTTCTCAACCCATACTTCAATCAACAAACCATATAGAATTGGACCCCATATATAAACCCATACCGGAAATGACAGTACTCACCATAATGGACTGGACAGTATAAATTCCAAGCAGAGTAGAATAACATCGCTTCATCGGAGGATCCACTGATGATGTCACCTAGCATGGTGACAAAATATCTGAACAAAAACAAGCCAGCTCGGCGAGCAAGTCAACAACCTCATCCACAACCCGAGCTACAGATCTTTGCCAATACCTTAAACGTTACTATATTGGAATAGTTAATTAGTAGTAATTAATATATATGTGTGTGTATATATATATATATATATACCAATTTGTTAAGCAATTTGATAGAGATACAGTTAAGCCAATTCTTTTAGTTTTATTTTGTCTGTAATTAACTGCTGTGTAAAAATAAGGCGTGTTTTGGTTAAAGTCGAGAGGTTTCACCATTTGAATTGCATCTGGAATACAACACCTTACACTTACCTTTAAAATAGGAAAAAGTTAGGGTCTAGAGTACCTTCTTCATATATTTTGAGGGGGTTGGTCTGACCAATAACACTTAAAAAAGAACAAAATCAAAGTGAAAATACTGCTTAAGAGAAAATAGCTGCAGCTTCCCCCTACCAGCTCCTGCTCAAATTACTGGGAATATGATGCAAAACTGGGAATTCTTCCATGAACAATTGCAGAATTATGTAATAGCTGTGGTTTTTTTCCTTTGAACAAACCGGAACAAGTACAAGTCTTACACACTTTTATCACTGGCAGGGAGAGACTGTTTCAAATTATATTCCACCCTAAATCCCTCTGAGGAGCTGAAAAAAATGCAGAAATTGTAAAAGCTTTGAGGCGCACTTTGAGCCCCCAAGTGATTGTTCCATTATGAACAGTCCATATTCAGGACAAAGAACACATTGAAAAAGAATCCATTGATCAGTACATAATATCAATAACTCACTTTGCAGAAACCTGTGAATTTGTGCAATTAAAGGATGAGTTAATTACAGACAGATTGGTATTAGGAAGAAGGGATCCCAAAGTGTAAACACACCAACTGAGAGAAGACAAACTT